ATCATTAACAAATATTATATAATGCTTAACGGATCATTAGTTAATGTTTACAAATGTCACTAAACTTCATATTAGCTAATGCTCATTTTTACATGTACAAATGTTGTGAAAATATATGAGAAGAGTCATTTTAAACTCTTCACAAACTATTTGTGTTAACATATTATTCATTAACTCATAATCACAGTCTGTTAAGCTCATATATTCGGCCTCCATTTGTTGTGAAGACTTCTACTATTTTCACATCTTAACAAATTATTTATAAATTTATTTGTTCGTGTTTTTGCAGTACCCAATCTAAAGTGGAAACTATTCATCAATTGTAAAGGTTTATAAACATTTACTAATCATATTTAGTGCCTTTATGAGCAGTCATTTTGATGGCAAAATGTGTCCCAAATGACCGGAATTCACCCTATTTACACATCCTTACAAATCATTTATTAATCATTTGTTCATGTTTTTGCAGTACCCAATCTAAAGTTGAGACTATTCCTCATTTGTAAATGTTTATAAATATTGACACATTTTTTAGTATCTTTATGAGCATTGGACTTTTAGCTACTGTAACAATGTTTGTGTAAAAGGGTGTTTAGTTAAGTTTAGCTAAATGCTTGCTATGACACACATTGTAATTTGGGTGCAAAACATGCTTTTATTACCTCAACAATTATTATATTAGTATACTATTGTGCATCATTAAACAGAATATTCCTTCAATCATACATCAAAAAAAAAATCACATTTTCAAGAAAATAATTCATTTATCGTTTATCAAAAGAATGCAATATAAACAGACTGAACACTTGTTCCCTTAAAGAAATCAAACTGACCCCTGTACACTGTTGACCCCTTAACCAATACTTAAACCTACCCATACCACCAAACCTGCCCCTAACCTTACCCATATTACACCCCAATAGCAGCAAACGTATCGTACATTAACAAAAGCTTTTAATCATTGTATAACATCTGTTAAAATCATTTGTAGATTTTCAAGATGTGCATGATCATATGAATTAGAAGTTTAATGACATTTGTAAGCATTTTAATTTACATGGAATGTTAATTATTAGGTAATGTTTATTACGTTTATTAGTAAACATTAACAAGCACATTATCTAACTTTTCTAGCTATTTGAATATATATTAACTAAGCATTACATAATGTTTGTTAATGATTTATTAATGAAAGTTATTATAAAGTGTTACCCCAGTTTCAAACCTAGAAAACTGTCAAATCTACTGAAAATTGTTTTTGTTTTGAATGTGCATTTTATGAAGTATGATCTTTTCTTAATCTTCAAGTCACAATCGGTAGCTTTCTTTTCTTCTCCACACTGTATTTCTTCATCCCACAGTATTTCATCTATTTTTCATCACTTCTTTCATAAACCCATCTAACCCTTTCACCCTCCTTGTCCTGTTCTGAGCACATTGAACAGGTCAAACTGTCATCAACACCACAAAAACCACAGGAAGGGGACGCTCATTAGAGAAACCACTTTGACTGAAGGGCACACAAAGTACTATTACAGCAACATGGAAAAACACTAAAAGATTTTTTTTTTATTTTGATATGTATTTCTAGCTAGAATGAATTTTCCCCCCCACCATTTCAAGAAATACAGTGGGTATATGTGTGTCATAGAATTAAAGGGGCAGTAAGTAAATAAGGATGTCTGCTTGTCTTAGAAACCTGTTTGAATCCAGTCATTATTTTAGTTTTTCACTTTCATGACACCAATGGAAATTACACACTTAAGCTTTAAGTAGCCTACATATTATTACTTCAACATCTGGAGTTCACTGCAGGTGTTTCTTGTCTTGCAACAAAACTGTAGTGTGTTGTAAAACTTTATTCTTTTATTCCCTTGCTGTCTTTCTTTTGGCCAGTGAGTGAAGTCCTCAGGTGCTGCTGACTCACTGCATGTATTTTTGGTCATCTTCAATAGTGGGAAATCCTTTGCATCTTATCAGATGTGTGAACAATAAACTCTGTCTGTGCTGGGAGATTCACATGCTGTAAGATGTCTACAGCAGGACACCTCTGAGCGCAAGTACCATCTAAGAGCTTCCAAAATATACACAAAACACTTCAACCTACTACAACCTACTTTAGGACTCCAAATAAACAATTTAACTGAAGTACTCGAAGGAAAAAACTTCTTGCAATGAGGGTTCATGTCTGTGACCCATTAAAAACAGATGTCCAGAGTTGCATCAAAGCCAAAATCACAGTCCCTATCTCACTCAGATGACTCAGACAGCATGTTTTTAACGTCATTTACAGCCCATTGGGCATAATCATAAATGAGAGACAGCATTGTTGCATTTGCTGCAGTCTGCAGAAACTGTACTGCATGCACCTACAGCTGGCTGACAATATGGCCCCAAATCATTTGGTGCACGTATTAGATACAGACCGACAGGGACATTCTTTTAATAGTATGAATTTACTTAATTTGACTGAAAATTGCTTTGTCAAATATGATAATTTCCCTTTCCAAAAACAGAAAGAATATCTATTTTACTTTTCTATGGACACCTTTGCAGCTTTTTTTCATGTAAAAAATACCTTTATCAATCTATATTGGGTTTTTTTATTTTCTGAACATTAATTTTGTTTTCAAAGTGATGCCTCAAAGCGCTCTTTAACCTTTCTTACTTTCTCGTTTATTTATTTTTTGAAGAACACCAACAATTTTGCTCCAGATGGCAATAAAAAATCTTGAAGCTAATAATCTTAATCATTCCAAGATTCATGGTTTCAGTTATTTATTTACATACTGAAGTAACAAGAGCTACACACAGAATTTGCACATTTGTTTTCAAAATAAAAACTGTAAAATAAATATACAATAAAATACATTAAACAAACAATCTTTTCAGGGGCCAAAAAAAAAAAAATGTGTATGAGAACTGTTAAGTGACTATGCAGTCACAAATGGAATTCCTGGACCGTCTGCATTTAGTTTTCACGTATGTTCCTCCAGTCATCGGTCATACAATCACTAAAAATACTGAAACGACAAGCAACGCTGAATATAACGTAAATGGATTAAATATATATCCAACTGTACCTGTGTCTGAAAACTGCACTTATGAATAAATGAATCAAGAGGCAAAATAACGACAGAAGATGATCACGTCAAGTTACATAAACTGGAAATGACAAACTGTAACATACAAAAATCTTTTCAGCACATGAGAGAACGTACCGTGATAACAAAACAAGAAGCAACATTATGATTTACATATATATTATTTACATATAAGAAAAGAGCAAACAGTGATGGAATGGATGTTGCGGCTGAACATCGATTGCTTCAGCACTATAATTCAAACAATCTGAAGTTCATTAACTACAGTCGTTCTACTAGAGGAACCCATCAGTGCTCTGGTATTTTAACAGCAAATGACCTGCATTTACACATTCACACACGCTCCCGCAGACACGCAAAACACATCAGCGCAAATGGAAGCGAAAGCCAGTGCCATCAGGAACAATGTTCCAGTGTGGCGAGGAGGAGGAGGGGAGCGGTGGAGATGGGAGACGGGCTGAGTTGGATCTCCCCGTCTGAGACTTTGTGGAAGTGAGACATCCGCCGGAGGAAGCAGCTGGACACAAAGAACAGAGGGAGACCTGGGAAATGAGCTACCGACTGAGTGCCCGGACTACTGATGTTCTGCGGTTGGTGTCGACTGAAGCGTTCAGTACGTAGCTCATATTCAGACCAAAACTCTGCCCTTTTCCCTTTGGCAGTGGAATGAGAATCCTATTGGCTCATCTAAGTAACAGAAAGCCGCTCTTTTTGTCCTCCATCTGAAAGCTACCCTTCTATTGGCAGATCCTTCATTGGCTACTCCTACAGAGAGCAAGAAGCCATTGGCACCCATTTCTACACAGCAGCGGCAGCTTTCTATTGGCTCAACCTTCAACAGCACGATTCTCATTGGCTAAAGAGCAGAGAAAACATTTCAGGCACAACAGTTGGTGTGGTAAGTAGAAGTCAGAGTAACTGAGTCAAGTCTGTAGGAAACGATAACCCGCGATTTCTGCAAACACGAGAAAGCAGAGCGACGACATAACTACCGAATCCTACCTTACTCTGTATGCACAAAATCGGACGTAACACGAAAAAGCCAGCAAAACATTTACAAATGTACAAAAGAACACTACTCGCTACGAAGTTTCCAGTTTCATGAAGGATAAAATGTGGAATCACTCTGGAATAAAGAACAGAACCGATGCTACAGAAGCTACTGATCTTCTACAGTCCACCATTACGGAACCACATCATGCGTAAAACGACTCAAAGAAACATTTCGAATGTGTTGAAACAAGCTACGTCTGTGCCATACAAATAAGTATTCTTTACCAAATATTTTCCTTAAAACACAAGGGAGAAGTGGAAGAAGCTGTCTAATGTGATCCCTAAAAGAAACGCTGTCTAAAAGTTTGATGCCTCAAGCTTGAATTACTGCTTGACTGGATCATTTTGCTGTCCCAAATTACACTTCCTGGTTGGAACGAAAAACACAACACAAGCCAATAATGTAATACTGCTATGTAACCAAAATTTCACTGAGTGTTTAAAGTAAACGATGAACTGTGATGAATTGCCTCTACGTGTCTCAACATCTTTCCTGACAGTGAACTGAAATGCGCCTTAATTTGGTCTATTTAAACATAAAACAGTTTCAGCTGCCAACTGACAAAATTCTATCCTGAACGCAACATGCAATAGGTAGCTTGTTTTTGGCTTGCGCGGCAACATGATCATGCTGTCAATGTTACAATGCTGAGTTATTGCTGCTTATACATATAGTTTCCAAACAGCGTAGCCTTTTATGTGGTTGATATTTGAATTTACCAGTAGAATGACCTGCAGAATAGTTGATAGGAAAATAACCGATTTACACTCAAGGCAGGCTCTTTTACTACTGACAGTCATGACAATCATGTCAAACTGGATGTCAAAAAGACGTCAGAGATGTTTTGGGAAAGTCATTTTCATTGTTTTCGCTGTGATGATTTAATTTAGTCTCTGACTTGAATCAGCCTGTTCCTTGAATCAGACTTCTGTCACTTGTAAAGACTTGACAATTAGCAAAAGAAGCGTTATTGTGTTTATGTATCCCATATAATAAAGCAAAGGGATTCTACAGAAAACAAGTTCAGTCCTCTTGCAGACTCACGTTGGAGATATAGTACCATGGAATGATACCAGCATTGATTATTAGCTTTCTCAAAAATTCAAAATATCCCCCAGTTCCAAAGAATACATGAAATGTTATTAGGAACGCACACCATCACTGTCCTTTCTGGCAGGGGGCTTATATACACAATCTGCAAGAAAGGTGACTGGAAAGAATATGACTGCTCTTGGATCCAAGAAGAGATTTATGATCAGTGTTTTCCACCAATGTCCTCATGTATGTCAGACAGCTACAATGACGCTTAGCCAGGGCAAAGAGAGATGAATGGCATCTGCCGGAACGCCTGGTTTTTGCTGAGAATTGATCTTCAGACCGGAGGGTGACGTGGACTTGTTCCTTCCAAGAAGACATCGTTGCTGGAGAGCAGGGGCTGAGTGGCAGTGATGTGACTGCCGACTGAGTTTAGCCGCTGGACGTGAGAACTGGACTCCTCACGGGACCCCGGTGCTGCAGGCAATCTGGAGCTGAAGTTTAAGTAAATCTGAAGAGAAGAAAGGTAAAAATCTTGTTTAAAACTCATGCATTCTTAGAAAAATACTCTTTGTATTCTTGCTGGTTTAATATAGTTTTGAATATAATTTTATACAATTTTTTTTTTCAAATTATAATTTTTTTATACAAAAAGGAAAAGAAAAAACAACTGAAATTACTCTAAAAATGTCATGGGGTGTAACCATTAAAAATAACATTTTCCTTACACAATGAATACAAGTGACTAATCATTAAAAAAAGTTTTTAAATATATTTTTTCAGGATAACTAATAATTCATAATATCTGTTTGTAAGGAGTCGCATCACACATGACATTTTAGAACCTCCTCTCTATGATATATGTTTTTAATGTTTTATGTTTTTTAAACAAATATTAATGCAAATAATAAAGAACTTTTGAGAATAGATTTTTTTCTTAATTATGATTTCAAGACTCACATTTTTTATTTAATGCCCTTACAAAAAATTTATTTTAATACAGAAATTAAAAATATGTTAATCATGTTTCAAATTACTGTATGTATGAATTGCATTTTTAATGTTTTTTTTCCCCATATGTTTTGAGAGCTAAAGAGTATAAAGGAAGACATACATGTTTGGTGCTGTCTGAGATTTGCTGTTCGATCTTCTCCACTATCTTGCCAAATGAAGGTCTCTTGAAGGGGTCAGCATCCCAGCATGAGTGCATGATCTCGTACCTGAAACACAACAACACGGCGGCGCTGGTGTTATTGGGAACACTGTTGTTAGGTGTGTACATGGTAAATGCTTGTCATGTTTTTTTTCCCCACAGAAAGAAATATTAACTAATTACAGCTTAGACTTACATTTCACTCAGGGCAAACTCCGGTGACTCCATTCGGTATCCTTCCTTGATCATCTTATAGAAATTAGAGTCCACAGGCATACCAGGGTAAGGACTACTCCCTACAGAAGCAGATTGTCAGTATTTGGAATAAAAACAGTCAATATAATTATGAGATAAATTTAACTCACCGAGAGAGAAGATCTCCCATAGCAGGATACCATAAGACCAGACGTCACTCTCAAAGGTGTACACGCACTCAAAGATGCTCTCGGGGGACATCCACTTCACCGGGAGACGAGCCTACACAGAGAAGAGCCTCATTACAAACATTTCTTCCTTAACAACACAGGCAGAGCATGAAAGCACACAGTACAAACCACATTTCTTGACAGATTCAGACTGACTAATATAGAAATGACTTACAATCAAAACATGCATTTGGAAACCTCAATCATACAGTTTTGTTCTAGTTAGCAAGATGTAGATTTAAAGAATAAACATACAAAAAGAATACTGACACAAAGACTAGCAATACTATAGACCAAGTTTGTCATGACTTTGTTGTTTTGGGCTTTTTTTTTTTGGATCATTAAATGCAAATGAATTATCTGTAGTGGAAGCCAGAAATAACATTCTGTTCACTCTGCTTTTTGGCATTATGGTTTTAGTGCCATAGTCAGGGGCAGATTAAGGTGGTCAGGGGCCCCTAGGCTGCTCTTTGTGTGAGGCCCCCTCAATCATTATGCTTTACTGGAGAAATAAATTTAGTTCCATACATGGTCCACACGCAAATAGTAAGGTGATCTGGCATACACACACACACTGAGACAATCCTACAGTGTTTCCTCTACATTCCCAGTGTCCCCTCAGGATTTTGTGAGGCTGTGGTGGGTGCGCATTGGTTCCTCGAGGGGGTTCCAGGGGTATGCTCCCCGTAAGAAAAATGTTGTTCATTTTAAATTTAAATGCATAAATCTGGTGCATTTTGAGAGCAGATGGATTTCTCAATGGAGAAATATGTGCTCTTATAAACAATTTTGTGCTCTAGTAGTAATTTATTTATTGGTTGCATAGATGAGAATGTGATGATAGGGCACAATTTTCACTATATAAATTCTTATAAAAGCTACAAATGCTATTCTATCAAGAGCAGGGAGTGATCCTCATCTTTTGTTGTTTGATTATCATTAACGCCGACACTTAACTCAAGAGATGAGACGAGACACGAGATTAGGTTCACGAGAATGAGACGAGGCGAGATTTTACACATAATTAAAAAAAAATCATCTCAATGACCAAATACATGACATAACATAAATAGTCTGCTATAGTTGTTAATAGTTATTTTAACTAATCATCTTGTAATAAATGTCATTTCAGTTCTACTTTCTGAGTATGAATTATCATATGCAGTAGCCTGAAAGACAACAACACTCAAGCACTGTAAAAGGTTTTGACAAACTCAACTGACTGGCTTCTCTCCTGTATGATTTCATGTGTCTCTTCAGACCTTAGAACTGTACATGAATTATGAGCTTTTAGAACGTTTGACCTCCTAACTGGTCTCCTTTTCACAAATTGAACATAGAAATAAAAACAGTATAAATAACAAAAAATAAACAACACAGTTCTTTCTTAGTCTTATTAAGTGCAAACAATAAGTGCAGCCATAATCAAAGTAGGCTACTCTCTCAATATTCAAAGTGCAAATAGAGACCACATTTTTCAAGAGTGATACACAGCTATAGACATCTACACAACCTATTATAGCCTACATACTAATAACAGCCTAGATAGCTGAATTTGCGCGCTCAGGGAGTCGATCTCAAAACGCGGGATATAAAAATCGCTTTTGAATGTGTGTGCACGTTTTACTTTTGGTTTTGATTTAACGATAGCACGAACTCTCGGCGGTACTGAGTGTGCATTCTACAATATAAGACATTAATTTTATCGAACTCTCTGGAACACTTTAATGTTTCTGCTTTAATGTTTCTTATGGGCCAATGAGGGTCTTTTTGTTCATGCTGAAGTAAATTTATAATAATAATAATAATAAAAAGTCTGGTCAATCCGGGGGGCCCCTAGGCTGCAGCCTAGGCAAGCCTGTGCGTTAATCCGCGCCTGAGGATAGTACAGTTACAGAACTAACGGAGTGAAGTGGGACAGCGAGAGGGAGGCGGGATCAGGAAAGGTCAAACTCAGGCCGCAACCATGCTACATGTCCACAAGGCTATCAGCTCTGACTGCTTTATGCAAATTCTTGAAATGAAATTTCTTAAAATTGCAAAATTTATCCTATTCATGACTTGTTTTGTATCAACCTCTTGCCAATGTGTGACATTTGGGTAATTCACATCTGATACATGTCTCAACATGGATAAAAGCTCTTGTATTATAAAGCGATCATTGTCATTTTGCATTTCCTTGCAGAAAGCTGTTGGAAAAAACTACATCCAACACATTAAAAGCATTATGCATTAAAAAGCATGTTTGCTTGTCTATTTACTTAATTAGTTAACGACATGTAAAACCTAGTGGGAAAATATACAAATAAAATAAAGGTTAAAGTTTATAATTTATGTTATGTAATGACAGCTAATACTTACATTGCCCTTAACAACATAGTTTGAGTCAGTAGTGATGTCCCGGGCTAGTCCAAAGTCACAGATCTTGGCCACCCGGCCTTGGGTGAGGAGAATGTTTCTGGCTGCCAGGTCTCTGTGAATACACTGCATAAACACAAATGCAAAACTACAGGTTAACATACTGTATACACACTAATAGATTACATATTAAAGCAAACTGGCCGTAGGAACGGATTACTTGTTTTTAGCGTGATATGAGCTAAAGAAGCTCAGGCTGTATTGCTGATTTAAAATATGTTATTGAAACATAATCTTGACAGCTTTTGAGATTTTCGCCTTTTGCTATTTAAGTAGATAGAAGCTGTACTTGCATGCATGTAACCTGCATAGAAATGAGTGGCCTGGAGGCATTATCAAAATGACCACCGAGGGGACTGACTTGTCTTAAAGGGGTCCTATTATGCTTTTTCACTTTTTCAACTTTAGTTAGTCTGTAATGTTGCTGTTTGAGCATAAAAAAGATCTGCAAAGTTACAAAGCTCAAAGTCCACTTCAAAAGGAGATATTTTATTTAACAGAAATCACTTTTCAAAAACTACAACGAACAACTCGTTTGGACTACAGCACCACAGCACATTTCGTAATTCAGAAGACAGGACTTCATTTGATACAGGAACTATTCGAGCCGTTCATGCCAGACTGGGGAGAGAGGTGTTGTAATAATGTAAAATATGTGAAAGATAATCTGTTTTTACCTAGTATGAGAGCCTGTTCTAGTACACCCCCAAAACAAAATCAAGACTTTGTAAAAGAGCACAATAGGACCCCTTTAAAGCTTTTGCTTAGAATTACTCTTATGTGTCAGGACTGTCAAAACTGTCAGGTATTTACAACAATCGTGCCAATATTCAAAACCTCATTTGCAAAGAAGTGTTCTAAGTTAGCAGAGAGGTGCTAAAATGAATTCACTGACAGAAAACTCCCATGCCCGCTCAACAGAGTGACTAATTTAGTGTCTTTGTCCTAAACCGAATACTGGACCTGCTGACCAGGTGGAGAAATGTGATATTTCTCAGCATGATCCTCAATGAATGAGCGTGTGCATGTGCTTGATAACATGTATGCGTTCGTGTGTGACCTTGTGTAACCCGATCCTTGACTGGACAGAGGTAATGGAATGTGAGCCTGTGGCATTGTAGAGGAAGAGCGAGAAGATCTGCAGTATGGGATTACTGCAACCACTTGGAATATAAAACTCAGTATCCGTCAGAGAGACAGAACGCAAATAAATGAGAAAAACACTTACGTTCTTGGATGCCAGGAAATCCATCCCTTTGGCTACTTGGTAGGAGAAGCTAAGAAGATCCTCAGTGTCCAGAGTCATGCCATCTTCCTGCATAATCTCACTAACAGCATCTGAATCTCTGTATGAATCACCTAAATGGATGACAAATTTATTGAAGATGACGATGAAGACACAATGAGACAAAAAGCCAACAGACAAGAAGAGACACAAAAAGAAAAGGAAAGGAGAATAGATGAGACAAGAAGACAACAGACAAGATGGACAAGACAAATTGAGACAGAAGAGACTAGATGAAAAGATAAGGGAAAAGAAGGCATGACAAGAGGTGAGACAAGCTGGGAAGAGATGAGAACAGTAAAGACAAGTCAGACAAGACTAGAAGAGAAGACAAAACAAGAATAGATGAGATGAAATGAGAAGAGAAGAGTCGACATAAGAGAACAGATGAGAAGAGACAAGAAGATTTGAGAAGAAGACAACAGACAGGAAGAGAAGAGACAAAAACAGAAAGAAATGAGAAGAGACAAGACAATATGAGACAAAAAAGAGATAAGACAAGAGACTGAAAAAAACAGAAGAGACAAGATGAGAAGATAAAGAGAAGGCATGAGAAGAGATGAGACAGAAGAGACAAGATGAGAAGATAAAAAGAGAAGGCATGAGAAGAGGTGAATGAGAAGAGATGAGACAAGAACAGGAAAAACAAAATGAGATAAAAAGAGATGATACAGAAGAGACAAGATGAGAAGATAAGGAAAGAGAAGGTATGATAAGAGAAGAGACATGGTGAGAAGAGATGAGAACGGAAAGACAAGGGCAGACAAGACTAGAAGAGAAGGCACACAACAAGAAGAGATGAGATGAAATGAGAAGAGAAGAGCCAGGATAAGAGAACAGATAAGAAGACATGAGAAGAAGACAACAGAAAAGAAGAGAAGGACAAGACAATATGAGACAAAAAGAGATAGGACGAGATGGAAAAAACTGAAGACACAAGACGAGAAGATAAAGGGAAGGCATGAGAAGAGATGAGACAAAGTGAGATGAGAAGAGATGAGACAAGAAACACAAGAAAGACAAAATGATACAAAAGAGTTGAGATGAGACAGAAGAGACAAGATGAGAAGTTAAGAAAAGAGAAGGCATGAGAAGAGACGAGACAGGAACAGGAAAGACAAAATTAAACAAAACGAGATGAGATGGGGCAGAAGAGACAATATGAGAAGATAAGAAAAATTAAGGCATGAGAAGAGATGAGACAAGGTGAGATGAGAAGAGAAAAAATGAGGTCTGACAAGATAAGAAGAGCAAACAAGACAAGACGAAACAAAAAGACTTTGGGTGACAAGAAGAGACAAGATGACAGGAAAAGAGATGATGACAACAGACAAGGCATTGATCCAACCTTTATTAAGTGATCTTCGGTTTTCAGAGGACAGAAGTCCCATTACAGAGGGCTTCATGGTCATGTATCCATGCCTGCTCTCACTGTAATTAAATACAAACTGGTTTTAGTGAACCCACAAGCACTTCACACTATCACACTTCACCAGTTGCACTGATCACACTTACTTTGGTTCTGGCTGCAGCATGACGTTTCTATAGTAAGAGTCTTCTCTCAGTGTAGTGAAGTAGAAGGATTCTCTCCTTCTGCGCAGGAAGTTCAACAGGTCACCAAAACAGCAGTACTCCGTTATAACTAGAGTTGGACCTGTGCAACAGACCAGTACAGTAATGAAGACCAAAACAATACACACAGAAAACCCTAGAAAAACAATATCTAGCCCTAGCCTCTTACCTCCAATAGTGCAGGCCCCTAGCAGGTTGACAATGTTAATATGGTTGCCCAGATAACTAAGCACCTTCAGCTCTGACATCAGAGCCTCTTTCTCAGTGGCATGGGCACTTGCTGTGGGGAAAAACACCACAATAACTAAAAGCATAAATGAAACAGCAAAAAACAGAATGTTCCCCTAATGTTAGTGTACGGTTCCCCTTCGATTATTGCATTGGAAACCAATATTATAAAAATTTTTAGGAATGTTTTTTTTAGGTTTCACTGTTTCACTGTTCTAGGAACCAATAAATTGTGGGGTACTGGAAATGTTTAACCTCCTTTCATCTCATCATGCAGGTTTGTGTCATTTCTGGTGTGTCTTTACACACAGCCTTATTTGCTTAAATAAATGTGCTGGTTAAACATGCCGTGGAGTTACTATACTACTTATATTTCACAAGATTATGAACGTGTTTTATGTTGCTTTTCACTCACGTTTGAGCATCTTCACAGCTACGGTCATCATAGTGTCTGCTTTGGACATCCCATAAGCAGTGGCCTCTACCACCTTCCCAAATGCTCCAGATCCTAGAGTTTTTCCTGGGAATGCAGAAAATCAACAACATCAATTTCACATTTCCCTCATACAGTTGTTTACAGTCAATGCGCCTGGAAACTGATCCAAAACCAGCTTTCAGCTTGAACATCGGCTTGTTTTTGAATCAAGGAGGTGTGGCTTGTGGGGAAGCGGGATATGCTAGATCCTGTTTGTTGACGGATATGGCTGTTCCTTTATGGGGAAGATATGATACTATGTCACAAGGTGCCAGCTATCAAGTGTCCCAAACCGTGTAACAGCCAATGAAAAGAAGCAAGCTTTGTAAAATTCAAAAGGCCTTTATGTTTTCTCATGCACTAAACCTTGTAAACCTTTCCAAACATAATGTTCAAACAAAGAATATTCCAATATGGAAAAATGATTTGGAATATGATTTATGAATTCCGACAAAGCAAACCGATTCAGGAACTTAACTCACCAAAACGCAGCTTATCTCTGGGAAACTCCCACTGGTGGTCGTATGGAAGCTGGGTGGGGTCAATATACACATAGCTATTTCCATGGATACCTTCTATGACTTTCCACTGTATTTGGTATTTAGGTTTCTTTTGGAGACAGAAAAAAATAGATGGGATAGGAGAAGAATAAACAATGTTTCCAGACAAGCAAAACAACCTTTTACATTATATCCAGTTACTGCAAGTTGTAGGTGCTCTCATAGACAAAAGCAAACAGAGCCCACTAATAAGAGTTTCGTGTAAATGGACATAAATTATTCAAACAACAATGTGAATGGTAATTTTATGTGTTGTATATATCACTGATTTCTCCCCTGTGCAACAGTGCAAAACTGCGTGGTGAAACATCAGGTCTTATGACATGTTAAGTAAATAATTTCCTTGCGTGTGTACTGTTTCAAAGTTCCCCTGAAGTGTGGGAGGGATGACAGGTGTGACAGGTAAATTGCGTTGAGTATCACGTTTAATATCAAATAACCAAAAACAAGTTGCGCTGGAATAACAATACAGGTTACAATATTTTATTGCTATAATAGAGTGAGAATTAAAACTGCTCAATTTTGTCTAATTAATGAATTACCTCAGTGAGTCAGTGTGCACTTCCTGTGCTGGAAGACAAACTATGAAATGAATGACACTTTACCTGCATGTACTTGTAGGACAGCACAATCAGGATGAGAATCAGGATAACAGCCGCAGCAACAAAACCGATGAGCAACGGTGTGAAGAGTTCATGAGGAACAGTGTTCTCTGTGAAAAGTAAAACAACATAGAGTTGCCATCAGAAACATGCAGAACATGACATGTACTCTATCAACAGCAAACAAGAAATGTGTTCCTTTTGATCTAGGGATACACTAATGTTAATATTCTGGCTGATATGATCATTTTTCATGTTATGGTCGATAAACAATAAATGCCACACAATAATCAATAATGTTTTGTTTAAAAAATATATAAATACAAATAATTAAATATATGGCAAATATGCCCAATATATATATATTATTATTAAATAATTATTTATTATAATTATATATCCTGTTTTTTTATCAGTAATGTTCAAATGTTTGGGGTCAGTAAGATTTTTTTTTTTTTTTTAAAGAAGTCTGCATTTATTTGATCAAAAATACAGAAAAAACTGTTACAAATTAAACTGTAAAATAGCTGTTTTATATTTGAATATATTTTAAAATGTATGTGTTAAGCTTTTGATTACAATAAAACCCTGACATTAATTGATTTAGTTTAAGTGTTTTCCGTCTGTAACCTGCCTGGTTGGGAATCACTGCTCTAGACAGAGTGTTTGTGTGAACAAGGCATCGATGGATAATCAGTACACATGGCTCATCCCTGAGGATCATTTCTGTTAGCACAGAAAACCACAGCAGATCTGATGCTATAGTCTTGGGACTTGCGACTCACTTTTTTCACATTTTGAAAGTGTAGCTGTGTTGTTTTTGTAAGGTGTGTGTATGTGTTCATGCATGGTGTGTTATTGTTTTTCTGCGTTGTTCTGAGCGGTGTAGTAAGCTCTTAAGCTATAAGAAGCTTTCTCTCCATTTCAAATCAAGAATGCAGACTCTGCAGGAAGTAATCCCTTGTAAACCTGCCACTGGCTTTCACAGTCCTCTTCTGCTCCCTCCCTCTGTCTCTCTCTCTTCCCATCTTTCCCCGTCCATCCATCTATCATCACACTGCATCCAAGCATACCATCAAGCCCTCCACAAATCAACATAAACCTTAACAACGGACATTTTTTTTTTGCATCTCGCTCAGCTGAGGATGAACAGCTTTAAAAGTCTAGCCTAGGGCTCATCGTCCCACTGCTTTTCCTGAACCTGCTACAGCCTAAAGCTTGAGAGTCTAAACAAGTTCCCACATCACCTAACAGGCTTTCCTGAGGCAGTGGATTCAATTCACGCTCTCAAAACCTCCAGTCCAACTCCTGATGGACTCTACAAAAAGGTCAATGTTCAACTATAGTTTTTTACTTAAGGCTAATTTAGTTGAGAACATGCAAAAAACAGGCAATGTAGTCAACAACTTTTACAAAAATCCAATGAGGATAAAAAAGTGAATGTACCAGAAACAAAATAAACTGGATGTGGATGACCTTTTGTTAACCATTCTGTCCTTACCAATAATACCAGTACTAACTGGGGTGGAAAGCCCTGGTGTTTTGCAACAAACCCAAACGAAACCCCCTAAACCGGGGAGATAATCCCCAACAGTTGGTAATGCTAGGTTTACAAAAGAAACAAGATTAGGGCTAAAACTCAGCACCTCTGTTTATATAATAGTCTGCTGTTATCGCGTCTTATCCAAAAAGTCTGCCTACACAGGGTTGAGCTGGAGCAGGAGTGGCGACCTGCAAGTTGGCAACTGGTTGAGATTTTTTGTCAAAAAGATGCAGCCAGTAGAAAAAGCACAGCTGGAGCGAACGTGAGGAGATGTGCGTTTCCTCTTGTTTGGTTGTTTAACTATTCCTGGGAAACTAGAAGCAGCTGGGTCGAGGTCTCTGAGTCTCATTCCATTTCCTGGTTTTCTATGATGTGCAAAAGATGAATACTAAACATTGGAACAATGATGACACAAGGTCGAGGTTCTTCATCTTCATTGTAGGTGTACAGTACCATTTTGAAAATTGCACTATATCCTGCATTTTAAGATTTGTTTTTGAAGTCTCACCAGGGCTGCATCTATCTGATCAAAAATATAATAAAAACACTGATACAGTAAAATTTCATTACAATTTAAAAATAACTTTTGTCTGTTTTAATATATAACAGCAGCCATTAGTCTTCAGTGTCCCATGATCCTTCAGAAATCATTCTAATATGCTGACTTGGTGCTCAAGGAATATTTATTCTTATTACCAATGTTGAAAACAGTTGTGCTGCTTAATATTTTTAGTGAAGAGTGTGATACATTTTTTTCAGGATTCTTTGATGAATAGAAAGTTTAAAAGAAAAGTATTTATTTGAAATGTAATTTTTTTTGTAATATTATAAATGTCTTGTAACTTTTGATCAATATAATGCATTCTTGCTGAATTAAAGTACCAATTAATAAAAAAAAAAAAATCTTACTGACTCCAGTTTTTTAAATGGTAGTCTACATATATAATGGCAGACATTACTGTATTTGTTCCAATACACAAAATGCCTATAATGTACATATTAGTATCTCACTCCATAACTGCAAAACATGCATAAATGAACAAATAAATAAAAATGTTGCTACCCTGTGATCAGAAATGAAATATAATCTCTTTTAAAAACATTGCTTTGACTGAAAGAACATGCAAGTGCATATATTGAGCAGTTATCGTTCGTTGTTTCTTTATAATGTTTTCTGTGTATTTCAGTGCACATCTACGATTTTGATGGCCCTAGAAATGGCTGACTACTTGAACTAGGGAGCGGATTGAGACAAAAACAAACAAGTCAACAAAATTAACAAAATATTTTACTACTAGGACACCAAAGCAAAGACACACACCCAGACCTGTGACAAATGAGCACAGCCTATACACTGGGTCAGTACGTGGGCAAGGTTGATTTAATAGGCATGTGTAAGCAAAAGGCCAACAAAGAGACAGAGTCTGAATTCAAAAACTTGATCTCCTATATATTTAAGTAAAAAACACCTGTATGCCCTTACTCTCAGAAGTTGCATGAAGTCAGCCAATCATATTATAGCCTGCAGATAACGAAAGTGCTTTCCAGTCTTGTGAGAAATATGGACCATAGGGTCAGCAAACAGACTGTAGGCGGTTTGTGGGCGGAGTCGTCTGAGGCTGAGACTTAGTAATTACTAACTAGAGTCTTCAGTCATTGTCTGAAGGGGAGTGTATGTATGTGTATGTATGCGTCTGTGAGTGCATGTGATTTGGGAGGTTATTTGCTCACCGCTGATAGAGAAGAGAGTGTAAACGATTTCTCCACTGGCAGATGCCACGCATTCAAGGGTGGCGTAACTGTTCTTGGTGATGTTTAGTCGACTTTCCACTGTGCTTTTTCCAAAGGGAGGATTTGTCATGGTTACAGTGACAACATCCTCCTCCTCCTGAGTGGCATTCAGCGAATTGGAGCATCTGGGGAGGCATGCAACAAACTCATAAATAGTCTTGCATTTTTTCATGAACATGTACCATGAGGTGGTGAACTGTTTTAGAAACATTGCATAAAAGGAGCAATAAAAAAAAAATTAAAAATACAAAAAATAAGGTCTTTCATGCACATCTTAAGACATGTAAAACAATCTTTTGAAAAAAAGAAAGCTGATAACCATAATGTGCAAGACAAAGGCAAGGTGCATCAACAAATACTTTCATAGCCTTAAAAGCAGTATTTTAGTATTATTTATGTAGTATTAAAGTTTTTATTAATATTGTAAATTAGCTTTTATTTTCATTTTTGTTTAATTCTTAATAATTTTGCTTCTAATTTGCTTCTGTCTTTTTTATTCATTTTTGTTTTTATTTAAATAATACTGTTTTGGCTTGATTTATTTTTTATTTCAACGTATTTTATTTTAGAATTAAAAACTCAACTTATTTGAATTCTAACGTATTTTAACTTAATTTATTTTTACTTATTTCAGTTACTAGCCAAGGCAACATTTCTCATTTTTATTGTTTAGTACATAATGTTTAGTGCAAGTTTGTCATTTAACAAACATTTATTTGTTTGTTTGTTTGATTATTTTCATCTAATAATTATTTCAGCCTCATTTCAATTAATAACATTTTTTCATAGTTTTAGTTAATGATAATAACTCTGCTTTACAGTCAAAATGGATTACCCATTGTAACCCATTTTACTTCCCAGGAACAGCAGATTATTACATTTTGATGTAAGATTATGAAACTCAACATTTTTTCTTTGGAATAAAATGCACCAATTACTTTTTATGATAAGGCCAGGAATGTAAGAGGTCTTTTTTGATTTCATGCAGACTTTAAAATCAAATGTTAAGCACCACTGCGTATCAATAATATGATAAGGATGTGATAAGCATCTCTCACTGCATTCAGGGGCTATGGCAGATTATGGCATGCAGAAAACTAGGCAGCAAAATGACAGACCTCAAGGGCTCTTTTATTTAATTAAAAACATCAGAGTGGAATGTACTGCCATCAAGTGCTTTGATTTATTTGTTTCTCCAAATTTTTTCTCACTCTTCTCTTAAAATGAAGTATGAGTGCTACTGAGTTGAGTTCAAAGTTAGTTTTGGATATAAAGCCAGAACAAATAATCTCAACTGGTTTACATTCCTTGTTCCGTCTTTTTATTACTGAGCGATATCTTTAATTACATTGTTTAGCATGGTGGAAACTTCTCAACAATGGAATGTCTGTTCGGTGAGAAAACCATCAAACTGTTGACAGACAAAGCGAGCAACGCACGAACAAGATCAAAAGACACATAGCACTGCATGTTTACATGCTCAAATTGAAGCAAGGCATGTTATCCTGATCGGATTTGATCATCATGAGGAATTGATTGGATAAGCTTGTGACTAAGTCTATGCTAAGGTGTTCTGTCAACACCCTATTCAAGAATAAACAGCCCAATGGAAGCAGCTTGTTCTAATGTCACATGACTGATAGTAGCCTAGCCAATCGCTTTTGTGATGTCACAATCATGACAGATTCAAATTGCTTATCCCTATTAATAATAGGCTAAAGCCTTGTTGTCCAATCATCAAACATCAAGTTAGCGGTTAGTGGCTAATCCATGCTGCGTCACAATGTACCCTCAGAGAGGCTAATACGTTAACACTGCTCAAGGGATATGCCGCTAATATTTGAAAGCAACTTTTGGAGCCCATTATATGTAGCTGTGGATGTATTTGAAACAAACAAAACTGAAGAAAGACAGTATGCAAACCTTGAATGGGGCTGGTCGCAGTAATACCACTTAATCTGAGGAGTAGGGTAACCTTCAGCCACACAGCGCACCTGTCCATCAATCGGCCCGTCATGGGACACAATCTGTGGTTTACCTAACAGCAAAGATTGGTACAGGGGCAGTTTTACAATCTTGGTTAGTGGGATGGATGTTTGTACAGCTGTCTTGTTTGAGATTACTTGTTATTATTTTAAAATATGACTTGAGTGGCATTAAAATGGCAGATATGAAAAATTTTTGTTATTTAAAATGTGACCTGTTTGGGGAGTAAATCTCCTTGTAATTGGTGATCAATAATTGACTTGGCAAATGTCTTATTTGCAGTCTTGAAGGCCAGTGCTTTCTTATCTGTTTTTACACAGCTTCTACTATTGTTAGTGGGCTTTAAGCCAGGGTCTTACACAGACAATCGAGTTCTTTTATCCAGCAAAATGCTCAAGAAATGTGAATGATCCCTTTTGAACCACAATACACACAAAACTCATATATCACATAGATTCTATGCTTTTTCTAGCAAGTGGAAAAGCCAAATATTTGCCATTTGCATTAAATGTTTTCACTTACTTATGACATGGACTTCGAACGATTGATGGACAGTTGCGTCTCGGTTTGAGCATGAAAAGATGTAAACGCCGCTTTCTAACACCTTGAGACGCACTAGCTTCAGCTCGCTGGTGTAACTGTTGAATGAAGAAGAAAAAAAACATGAATAACCTAAACCTAAAGTATCTTTCAGTGCTGTGAATAAATGGGAAAAATGTGGAGTTTGCGCTGATTTTAAAATTCTGGCTGATACTGATAATTCTATTGTATTTTCTTTAAAATAATTATATATAAAAAACACGAAAAATGCCACAATTTAAATGCGACAAGTGAATTTAGGCTTTATATAAACATTAAATAACACAATACAAAAAATGGATATTGAGAGATTTACTAAAGATTACATTTAATAGTGTTTCTAAATTAATAGTATTTTAAAGATGAACTTTAAGTGAGCATAAACAGTAAATGAGCTAACACAATTAAATAAACAATATTGATAAATATATCCAATAAATACCAATATGATACTGATATAAGGTGCATCCCTAGCAATTACTACATAGGAAAAACAAGAATTGTTTGTAGCAATGTAACAAAATCATACCTATTCCCATGTGAGCGACTGGTAATGACATGATCAGTAGTGTTGGTGAGTTTTACACCACTGTAGCTCCAGGAAAATGTATGAGGTTTCGGGTAAGCATTCATTACCACACGCAGGGACAGACTTTCTCCAGCCCGCACTCTCTTAGTGCTGTTATTCACACTTGTTAGGTTAATGAAGCCTTTATCTGCACACAGAAACGCATAAAACATTGTTTTATTTTTTTGAGACTATTTAAACTGAGACTAAATAGTCATATGATTATTTAAATAAATTCTTGAAACAAGACCCACCATAGATTTCGACCCAGACTGTCTTTGCACTGGTCCCTCTTTCATTCCTGGCCTCGCAGTTGTAACTCCCTGCATCCTGCTTGGTCACAGACCCCAGATTTAGGGTGGAATTTCTCAGGTGAGAAATGGGTTCGGGCAGGATACTTGAGAACTGCTGCACTGAAGGTTGCTTGGCACATGCAAAAGGAAAACAGGACCAAAGCTTATTGGGCAACTCTGAAGAGATGAGGCATAGACCTTGTCTTGGGTAAAATGTCTGTGGTTGTCTTTATGTGTAGGTGAGGTGTGGCTGTTTTTATAATCTTTATATAAAACAAAGCGTGCCATTCATCTCTCAAATCCCAGTCTCTGATGCCAGTGGAGTCTTAAAACTGAAGATCTGTTTACATAGGTTGTGTTCTCACAGCACAAGTTTGCCAAAAATACAGCTGTGAGTGCTGAAAATTTAAGAGAGCGAGTTCAGTTATAAAATTCGGTAGACTTGCGTTAATAACTGAACTGTGTTTGAACAATCAAGATTGAGATAAATACAGAATTATACAATTACAATTTGCAATTCTGCATCATGTTTGCTTTCTCAATTCCAAGCTAAATTCGAAATTCGAAACTTAAGCTCTCAATTCACTTCTGAATGATACACAACCCTGCTGACAACTGTATTCTGCTGCTGTGTATACAGTACATGAACATATAGAATTTGAGGAGCACCTCAAACCACACAAGATCAAATTAGCCTCTGGGAATAATATTGAGTACAAACAACGTTTAAATTATCTTTTTCAGTCTACAAACACTAAATTGATTATGGGTACACATTACCACATTAAGGTTAACTGGGATGTGCACTCACACTATAAGTCTGCTTTTGTAAACATTGGTTCTACTCGACTGAAATGGTTGGTGTGTTTGATAAAGCCTGCAGTATGTACAGTATATATGTGTGTGAAGAGTGTCATGGAGCACCACAGATGTGCTCAGGTACATACTGTAGGTGAGAGCTGGATAGTTTATGAGAGTGCTTTTACCACTCCTTGAGGAGCCTTCCACCTGATTGTGATGTCGCTGTTGACATTTGAGGTGTTGCAGGATAGGGAGAGCTCTTCCCCCTGGATGAGCAGCACTCTCTGAGGCTGACCCAGTGTGATCACAGGAGGTGCGTCTGGAACTAAAAGCAAAGAAGCATGATGCATTATATCAATGGGGAAGTGTGGGAAAGAAAGAGCAAGCTACAGTGGAGTAACATGGACATGTGTGTCTGTCTGTGTCCTCTAGCTATATTTAGGGCTGGCAATTGATGCCATTTTTTAATCAAATGAATTACATGATATAGTGATTAATTAATCGGTTTAATCTCAATGAATTGCAAACATCAATATTTGAAATACCTCAAAATAAAAACATTGCTAAAAGTGGCTTTAGAAGTCTATAAACTACCATTCAAAAGTTTGAGGGTGGTAAGATTATGTAATGTTTTGAAAGAATTTTTTATGCTTACCAAGGCTGTATTTATTTGATCAAAATACGGTAAAACAGAAATATTATAAAATATTATTACAATTTAAAATAACTATTTTCTATTTTAGTATATTTTAAAATGTAATTTATTCCTGAGATGGGAAAGCTGAATTTTCAGCATCATTATTCAAGTCTTCAGTGTCACATGATCCTTCAGAAATTATTCTAACATGCTGATTTGCTGCTCAAGAAACATTTCTTATTATCATCAATGTTGAAATCAGTTGTGCTGCTAAATATTTTTGTGGAAACATCTTATTGACACCAAACTTTGAATGGTAATGTATATTTCTCATCTGCTTTGAATGCAAAAACACATTCAATGGCTCCTTACTCATTATTTGCTGCCTTATCCTGGTAAGATAGTATTTCAAGCTTAAATTATTATTTTGCAGTTTTTTATTGTTTTATAGGTTTTTTAAATTAACAGTCCTAATGTCTCTCCTTTTCTTTCTCACCGAGGCGGACATTGAGTTGATATTGTCCGGATTTAACTGTGTTGCCTTCCAGAGTCCCGACACAGACGTAACATCCCTCAAAGTCCTTCCTGACATCTTCCAACGTTATGCCCGTCTCAATACTGGAGGAATATCGGAGGCTGTTGGGCAGGGGCTGTCCGTCACATTTTTGCAGGTGCAAGTCTGTCATACGTGGGTCTGTGGCCAAGCATGGGAGCGTGGTCGTTTCTCCTTCTCCCGCAACAAAGTCAAACATGATGTTCCTCCTGAAGGGATTTTCAGGATCTGCTGAGAGGAATGCTAAATCAAAAACCAATGAAACACAACCAAGGGGGCTTAGATCATGACATTACAGCTCAGAGAAAGAGAGAGAGTGTAACAAAAAGACTGAAAGTGAAAAACTACCCTCCATCATACCTAATACACAAATACAAATAGCACACATCTGCAGTGCTCACATTAGTAAAATTAGTGTCAACTGCCAAAAATGCCAAGGATCAATTTGAAGAGTTTAATACTGGGATTATAAGAACATGCTTGAAATAACACATTACACAGATGTATAAATAAAGGTTATGCAGGTGACTAGTGAATACAGAGAGCTGATTGTAGGTATTTGGGGCATCTGTTGACACCCATAGTGTCTTTTTGGCACAAAAATGGAACCACACAGGAAGATGAGAGATGCTGGAGAGTATGATCATAGAGAGAGAGGGAGAGCGAGAGAGAAAGACAGACATAAACATAAAGCACGAAAAGTGTTAGAAAGTGCACATGGTGCAGACATACTTTCTATCTAGTATCTCTACTAGTATACTGTTGCTAACATGCTTGTACAAACCTAGCACATCTAAAACATACTGCAGCTGCACTCACATACAGACAAGATAGACACTAAGACACAAAGGAGGGTTGAAGAATTCTTTCAATACTGCCCTACAGATTTGTCACTCAACCCAGACATTATTACACCCAATTAAAATCCTGACTCACAAATGCAAAAGGCTGACTTACCTTTTACATACACATAGATGGAGCTTTTTTCACCAGATGCCTCCTCTCGGCAGGAATATTTGCCCATGTGTTGTGGGCCTGCTTTGCTCACTTTAAGAACTGTCACTTGACCCTGTCTTTGTTCCTTAAGGATTCGTGTGGGGCGGTCTTCTCGCAGCCAGCGCACTGAACTGTCACTCTGACAATGCAAGCTGAAGTCGTCGTTCAGTGGTACTATGAGTTGGGGTCCTTCAGGGGTGATAGTGGGCCTGGACCTGGCTGAGAGGAAACAAGTAAGTGAACATAGTGCACAAGTGGAAGATAAAATAGTTGAACATTTGATAAACATACAAGAGAGGAGATTATTAAGCGTTAACGTGAGGATTGCGAGAAAGAGTCAGTGTACATCTGCCAAATTTGTCAAATGCATTTGACTTGCTAGAACACTACGGTACTGGTTTTGAATAGAAGAACCAACACTGATATACAGACTATACCAAGCGCATACGCATATATTCACACACACAATTCAAAGACCTCTCAGGTTGCATAAATGACAGTTAAGGGTGAGAAATAGTTTCACAACTCAACAAATTAAAAAAAAAAAAAAACTAAGCCTTCCGAGTTCCTCTAATAGCAATTTCTTTAGAAATGGCAATTTGATGTCAGACAACTCTAAATGAGTTCTTAAAAAGATGAATGCCCCCTTCTCAGTTGTGTTAGATTCTATTGAATTATAGCATCCTTCTCCATTCAAAGTGCTGCATTGCCTTAACCCTTAAAGGCAACAGATTAGTTTTAATCTAACAAAAGAGCATTTATCCTCCCCCTCCCCACATGACTGGGAGAATGGTAAAAATAAGTGAAAAAAAAAAAAAAAAAAAAAAATTAAAAAGTATTAAAACTGACTAAATGTATGTAGCATAACAGTAAAACTTCAGCTGATTATATAGGCCTAAATTATTTTATCTACCATACATACATCTGTGTTAATTTTGGATATACTATTAAATATTAAAGATAAAAGCAGCAAGGCAAACAGTGAGCAAAGGGCAAAAGGGCAAGTAAACATCTGTTTGGCAGGTAAAGGATTGCATGGATACATAACGATTATGTAGTAACAATAATGTCTACTCTGGTAAATACTGTTGTAATCTGTCATTGCTTTCTGCATTTAGCTTTGATGGATTGAGGCAATTATGGCCCTTAAAGGGGTCATATGATGCGATTTCAAGTTTTCCGTTCTCTTTG